TGAGTAAAATAAATTAAAAATAAATAAAAAGAAATAAAAATATACATATGTGTGAAAAATAACTATGTATATACAAATATTTCAAAAATTATTTTTGATTAATTTTTCTAATTAAATTTTTGAAATATTAAGAAAAAAATTATAAAAGGATTTTGAATAATTGAATTTTTGTAAAATTTAATTAAAATTTTGATTTTTTCAAATATTTTAGTAAAATTTTTTAAAATCAACTTTTGAAGGATTTGAATTTGAAAATTTTTGAAATAATTAAATTTCCTAAAAATTCTGGTAAAATATTTTTGAAAATCAACTTTTGAAGGATTTGAATTTGAAAATTTTTGAAATAATTGAATTTCCTAAAAATTCTTGTAAAATATTTTTGAAAAAAGTAATTCTTAGAAATTTTTCAATCTAATTTTTTAAAATTCAATTATTTTCAATATTTTCAATTTCATTTTTCCGAAAATTCAAATACATACAAAAAAATGACATTAACATTTTTTAGAATTATTTTTAACATTTTGAAAAAAACAATCATGTATAAAATTTTTATTTAAAATTCTTAAAAAAATTAATTAGTTTTTTTAAATTATAAAAAAATTCTGTTAAAAATAAGAATAAGGCTTATTAAAATTTCAGAGAAATCGTGTTTCATATTTTTAATTTTTTCAATATTATAATTGAAAAACTATTATCTTTCAAAAATTATTATAAAATATTTTTTAAAAATTAATTTTAAGAAATTCTTTATTATTTTTCGGAAAACAATTTTTTGAAATTAATATACATTAATGAATTTTTTAAGAAAGGACAGTTGTTGTTACAATTATTATAAAAAATTGAATTTTTGTATTTAAATAATTAAATTCTCGAAGAGTTTTCGGAAAATTATTTAAAATAATTGACTGATAAATAAAGTTTAATTAAAAATTGTAGCAAATAATTGAATTTTGTAAGGGGTTTAATTGTAATTTATAGAAATCCATTTATTTGATTTAAATAAAAATTATTTAATTCAAGTAAACATTTATTTAATAATACACAAGTAATTGGTTATTTAAATCAAATAAATTTTTTTAGTGCAGCCAAGTTATTTACTGTTTTATATAAAACGAAAATTGTTGATAAAAAAATTGTTTTCATAGTGAACGCAGAAATATAGTACATACCCTGATGCAGAGAGAATATATTTTTTTTTATTTTAACAATCATTTTCTTTTTATTTTTCAAAAAAAAAACAAAAAAACTTTTAATTGAATACTTTTTTTACATATTCAGCATCCCGTTTAATTGGTTCAATTAAAGTTTTTTCTTTATTTATACGTATAGACCATGATTGAATGTTTATAAAAATACATTTCAAGCAGACTCTACAAAAATTTCGAAGTTTAATTAACTTTTTGATTTGCCAGCTAGAGTATAGTGTTGGCGTGAAAGTTTATTTCTTTACAATTAAAATATTCCCTTAGGAATTTAAAATTGGAGGTTAATATAATATGAAAAGTTCTTGAAACTTTTGTTAGAAGGCAGATTAGAATTTGGAAACCTTGAATAAATTGTAGAGAGAAGAAAAAAATTTTATTTTTCTATTCATTTCGTTTTTGATTATAGAAAGATTCGCACAATGAAGGACGAAAAGTTTCAATATTATTGGAGTTTGTAAAACAGTGGTGTACATAATTGATGTTGAGATGACAGCTTTTGCTTGGAGAGCAAGATTACGTGTTCCAGTTGAATTTAGTATTGTATATTTGAAACGGGGGCTAAAATGCAGTTAATGATCTCGCCTCGTAAAGTCCGTTGAAAATAAAATACTTTAGATCACGCGAATAATCCCCAAAAACCTTGGTTAATTAATTGCATTCCTTTAGATAGTAATACAAATTAATACACTTTAATGAGCAAATTTTCGATTATTTCTTTTTAATTATTAATTACAAATATGGGTTAATTAATTTATTATGATTAAAAGGAATGAAAGTCTTTTAAATGGTGCGAAGTGAAATGAAAATAAAATTTTAATTTAAACTCTGTACTGTGCAGTCTTCAGTGAAAGAAAATAATAAGTGAAATTGTAATTCCACTTATTTTTATTTATTACGATTTTTTAATTTTTTTTCTATTGGAAAGTAAATAATTATAAAGAAATCTGATTTTTTTCTTGAAAGAGAGTTGAATAAAGGGAGGCATTTATTTAAAATATTGAGTTTCAGTTATCGATGTGAGCACATATTGTGTAACTTTTACGTAATATTGGAACCATTTTTCACAGCTCCAGATGCAATATTCGATATCAATAATTAATTATGAAACTTGTTGGTTTTATGTTTCACTGCACATTGTTGTTAGAAACAGTTTCAAGTAGTATACGAATCAGTAGAGTAGCCTATGAATAGGCAGACCCTTCTGGTTCGATTCATACGCAGAGAGCGGCCCATTAGAATCAATTCACTCATTTTCTGTTTGTATTTCAATTACATTGAAAAATAATTCATTCATTTCCAATTGACAAACGAGAAAGGTATAGTAAAACAATATTTCTTTTTCTCCCTATGAATATTATTCACAAAAATATTTCACAGGTTTCTTGATTTATATCAAATTAATATACTATAAAGGGTGATACAGGTCAGGAAAAACAGGAAATTTTATTAAAAGTACTGGAAAAAAATTTAATTTTTAGAATTTATAAGAAAATTCTGAATTTTTGTGTCTTTTTGTTTGCCTCATACACTAATAAATTACCACGAATTCTAAAAAAACCTTCAATTTTTTCTAATTCCAACAAAAATTTTTTTAAAATAACTAATTCTATTGAAGAACTGCCATAAAATTATTACAAATTTACAAGTGAAGTATTTTTTAAAAAATTTTAATTTTTTCAATTCTGTTGAAATTAGTGTCAATTTTAAAAATGTTAACGCAATTCTTTGTAAGAATAAATTCAACTACCTATAATAAATATTTAAATTATTTCCAGAATTTCAATTATTTTCAAAATTTTTTTAAAAAATTCTCGTCAACATTTCAATTGTCTTTATAAATAGCAAAATTCTTCTCCGAAATTCAATTATATCCAAGAATTTTTATAAAATACATTGCAAAATTCAATTATTTTCATAAATAACAATATTTATTGCAAGAATTTAATTATTTTCAAAAAAATTTCTTAACTCAATGATTTTCAATATTCTACTATTTTAATAAAAATTTTGCATTAAATTCTTCTCAGCAATTCACTTATTTTCATAAATTTTAAAATTCCTTTCAGGGATTTAATTATTTTCATAAATAGATAATTGAAAAATAAATTTAAAACTATGAAAAAATGAGGAACTAACTCTGCTGGGGCAACCAGGAATAATTTTATTCATAAATAATAAAATCATTCGGAGGAAGTCAATTATTTTCATAAATAACAATATCCATCACAAAAATTCAATTATTTTCAAGAGTACCTAATAAAATTCTATTATTTTCAAAAATTTTAATAAAATTCATTGCAAAATTTGAATTATTTTCAAAAATTTTTCTTAATTCAATAATTTGTAGGTACTAATAATTGCATAATTTTTAGAAATAACTTAAGTTTCTAAAGTTTTTAAATTAAAATCTTTAAAACTCTGATTTTTTCATACATACTTTTAAGTAATTAAATATTGTATGGAACTAATTTTTTTTAAAAAGCTTAATCGTAGTTTTTCAAAATTATTGCAAGTTTTTATTTTCTAATAAATGGATTTGAAAATTTCCAAAGAACTTTTTCAAAAATTATTAAAAATAATTGATTTAGAGAAGAATTTGATTTAAAACTTGTGGAAAATAATAATTAAATTGAAATGAAGAAAATAATTTTGAAAAAGTTACAGTAACAATAATCTTATATTATAATAGACGATCACGGACATTTTATATTATAATATAAAATAATGATTTTATCACTCGGTCACCTTTACATATTATAAGTTATTGAATTTCAAAAGGTTTGAATTAGAAATTTTGAAAATCTTAGTTTCCATGGAAAATAATACTGATTAAATATTTTACTGAAAATGAAGTTATTGGTATTTTTGAATAATTTTATAATCCTATCTAATAAATTTTGGAGTGAATCAGAATATTTTTTAGGGTCAGGGAAAAAGTCAAAATTTTGGCTGGAAATCAGGGAAAAAGAAAATTAAATTTTGTTTGCAAAACCCTGATTTAAGTTAATTAAGTTAACAGTGTTTTTAAAATAATTTGAAAATAATGAATTGAAAATTTCAAAAAAACTTGAAATTTTTCTCATTAATAAAAGTAGATGAGTTTGTCAAATATATAAAAATTGTATTTGACAAACTGCATAGTTTTCGCTTTCTGTAAATTTCTCAGCACTACATAAAGTTAATTCTTTTGCAAATTTTCCCCTCTTCACATTTTCCACTTTTCATGGCATTTCAATTCTCACGCGAGTCTTGCAGTTTCAAACGCTTATTTGAGCCTATTAATTATGCAAAACTTGAGGAATGAAATTTTAACTGTGAATCCGCGCCAAATGAAAAAATACAACGCTTCCTGATGGAGAGAAATTAAAAATACAATGAACTGCTTTTTCTAGAAATGGAGGGAAAAATTAACTCAAAACTTTACATTATAAATATAAGGTGTTAAATATCTTATTCGAAGTTAATTGCAAAAAATATTTAAATTTAGAATAAGGTTGAAAAATTGTCAAATTGAAAATAAAAATAAATTTGACGCTTTTAGGTTATGTTTGTAATTTTTTAATTAAGAATACAGAAAGAGGATCAACTCTTAATATAAATCACTGATGTTTAATTCTTCGTTATATGTTTAAAATAATAAGTGAAAACTAATTTTTGTTTTAAATTCAGCACAGAAAGTTTTAAATAACGTAAAAATACACAAACATAACCTTAAAATGATTTATTTCTTAGATGCCTTTCTTCGGAGTGCTCCATAAATAAAAAATAAAAGAAATATGGTTTTGCTTTTTGCAGATATTGCAGTCCGCATCACAGTCGCTCTCAATCAGTGAAAACACCTGGAAGTCGAGCATCAGGACGTCCAAATTACCTGTGCTTGCCCCAGCAGAGGTCACGAGTGGCAAGTATGCCAAATACCGGAGTTGAGGAGGAATATTATCGACTGAGGCACTTCAGCATAACCGGGAAAGGAGTAGTAAATAGAGGCGATTCCCTAAAAAGCAGGCGGTCTCGTTCAAACAATAGCGTCGCTTCCAGCAATTCGAGGTGAGTTCATACAGTATTATTTTTCCATTCATTAAGAAATTCTTTATTTCAGGACTACTTTTTTCGAACAATTCTAAATATCAATGAGCTTGATAATAGATTTTTTTCTTTTTATATTTTCTTTTCGTTATTCTTATATTGACAATTGTAATTTTACTGTCGATTTACAAATTTTATTTTATCTTTGTACTGGTTTTTTATTTTTATCATTTTTATGTCATTTTTTGTGCCAAAGAAAAATTTTAATATTTCATTTCATCTTTGTATTGATTTTTTTATTTTTGTCATTTTTTGTGACAAGAGAGATGCTCCAAAGAAAGGTACTTACACAAGGAGACGCTAAGCGTCAAAAAACTTTTTTTTTGTTGCAAAAGTAAAAAAATTCAATTATTTCGAAGAATTTAGGTTAAAAAATAAGATAAAAAAAAAAAATTTCGACGCTTTGCGTCGACGCGCTCGTCAACGACTTGAAATTTTAGGTTATGTTTGTAATTTCAGAAATTAAAATAAACGAAAAAAGATAAAATCTAAACATAAATTATTAATATTCAAGTATTAAATTACATTAAAAATAATAAATAAAAACATAATTTTAGTTTTAAATGAAACATAGAGACTTTTAATAAGAGGAAAAATAGAACAAACATAACCTAAAAATAACCTTCATCCTAGGTTTTTTTCCTAGGTGCGCGTCACATTTTTCCTATCATTGTTTAAATATATTTTTTAATTTAATTTTCTTCCTTTTGCACAAAGTTTTTAATTAAACTAAATTTTAATACAATTCGTGCGCGTATAATATTATATTATACTTACGTAATTAAATATGCATTATTTTAGTTCTTTGCACAAATGATGTAGAAGAGAAAGCATTCATTTCTAATTAGTTAAAATATAATTTGTTACATGCTTTTAAAATTCATATTTAAATTGAAATTTTTTTTTATCAAAATGATGGTTATAAATCATATCTTTCAACGAAAATTAATGAACTGCAGTTGACGTTTGCTGCAATGGATGCGGTTCAAATCAATATTAAATCTAGACACAGATTTTAATTAATGCTTTGAAAATCAGAAAGAAGTTCATAAAATACGTCCATTCGTTTGATAATTTTTTCAAATCAATCATTTTTAACAAGTATAATTATATTTATTTAGCATATGCGATAATTATAATAATAATAATATTAAAATTATTATTTTTATTAAAATATTTCCCAAAAAAATTCACTTATTTAAAAAAAAGATTTTTATAAAATTATTCTCAAGAATTCAATTATTTAAAAATAATTTGTTTTGAAATTCTTTATGAACATTAAAGTATTTTCGTAAATAATAAAATTTCCACAGGAATTCAATTATTTAAAACATAAAATTGTTTGAAAAAAGTCAATTATTTAAAAATATTTTTATAAAATTCTTCTCAAGAAGTCATTTATTAAAAAAAAAAATTTTTTATGAAATTGTTTGTAAACATTTAATTATTTTTATAAATAATAAAATTTTCACAGCAATTCATTTATTTAAAACACAATTTTCATAAAATTGTTTGAAAACAATCAATTATTTAAAAAGATTTTTATAAAATTCTTCGCAAGAATTCAATTATTTTTATTAGTAGGTAATAAAACTCTTTTAAAGAATTTAATTAGTTTTAAAAAATTTAATTCAATTATTTTCATAACTAATAAAACTCACCGCATGATAAATAATCAGGTATTTAAAAATTTACTTTAAAAAACTTTTGTATTTTTGAATATAATTTAATTTAAAATTTTAAAACAACTAAAATTGTTAAAAAAACCAGGGTCTTTAGATTTTTAATTAAAGTTATTAAAAATTCAAGTTTTTATAAATTTTAAAGAAAGAGACTTTTTTGGAAACAAAATTTTCTAGAATAAAAATCTTTTCGGAATAACTTAGTATTTTGATAAAAAGCTTTTTTTCTTGGAAAGGGATTTTTTTGAAAACAGAGCTTTTTAAATCAAGATTTTCCTGGAAAAAAAAACTTTTTGGAATTTTTTATTTTTTTGAAAAAAGCATTCTTAGAAAGGAGCTTTTTTAGAAACAAGACTTTCTTGAAAAAATGACATTTTAGAATGACTTATTGTTTGAAAAAAGTTTTTTTAAACAGAGCTTTTTTGGAAATAAGACATTCCTGGAAGAAAGATTTTTGGAACGACTAACTTTTAGGTGGAAGCTTTTTTTAAAAAGGGACTTTTTTGTAAACAAAGCTTTTCTGGGCAAAAGCTTTTTGGAAAGACTTATTTTTCGTAAACAAAACATTCTTACAAAAAAAGCTTTTTGATACGATTTATTTTTTGGATAAAATACAATATTTTTCAGGAAAGGGACTTTTTTGGAAACAGAGCTTTTTTAAAAACAAGACTTTCTTGAAAAAATAACATTTTAGAATGACTTAGTTTTTTAAAAAAGCTTTTTTAAAAAGGGACTTTTCTGAAAACAAAATTTTCTTAAATAAAAAACTTTGTATAGATTTATTTTTTGGATAAAAAGCTTCTTTTCCAGTGAAGGGACTTTTTTGGAAACTTAGCTTTTTTAAAAACAAGACTCTCCTGGAAAAAAATCTTTCTTAGAAAGAGACTTTTTTGAAGCTAAACTTTCTTGGAAAAAAGTTTTTTGGAACTTACTTATTTTTCAGAGAAAAGTTTTCTTAGAAAGAGTATTTTTTTGGAAGCAGAGCTTTTTTGTTAATTAAAAATGGTATCATTTCCAAAATCTAGGTTATCAAAGCTGAAATTCTTATACATATTTATATACGTTTTTTAAAAATGTTTTCACTTCTTTTTAAAAAGACATTTATTATCCTTTAATGAATCTCCTTTTAAAGTCCTTTTGACTAGGACAAGTTTTCCGCATGTTAAAAGCTTGCAAATGTTACCTCTGTGAGTAAAGTGCAGTCTCGAATCGATAGAGATAATATGATATATTTATTTTAATTAACACTTTATTCTCGAGTGTATCTCATTATTTCTCTGATATTAAATTTTTGCAACCCACTTAACGACGTCAAGTTGCATAATCAACGTTTGAAAACAACTTTCAATATCTCTCAAACTAAAATAATGATATTTCATTGAGTGCTGCTGATTCTGTTATAAAAAAAGAATACAGTGCCATTTAAAAATTTATAAATTTATAATATTAAAATGAGATCATTTAATTTTTATAAATAGCAATTTTACACTACATTAAGATTTTAGTTTTCTATTAGGAGAGAATTTTCGTCTTTAAATGTACGAAGTTTCTTCTTCTTCTTCTTCTTCTTCTTCAAAGAAGTTATATCCCCGTATATTAAAATTTGTTCTTTGAGAAGAATTAGAGTTAGCCCGGTGAAAATTATCCTTTCTTTTTTGGGGAGATAAACTCATTTCCTTTCTTTTCTCCAAACTGACATTCCCATTCATTTAAACTTTCCGCGAGTTTTAATTTCTCGCATATGCCACTCTCATTAATGACTATGACAGATGGCCGCTAATTGTGGCCTAAAAAATTAAATTCAAATTATTTCGTTCAATACAATGTTGAATCAAATTAATTATGTACATATAATATTTCCACAGTTTTGCCGTGTCAACTTAATTATCTAAATGACAAGCTTAATATAAATATTATTATAACAAAATCATAAACAGACAAACAACTATTATTCTGCTTATTATGATTTTATTAGCAAAAATTCGCGCTCTAAAGCCCGCGGCTAACTTCTTACTTACTTTTTTAAATAAAATTAGCAATTTTAATAATAATAGAATTTAAAAATTTTTAATTCAAATTTTTGTTGAAAACACTAAAAAAAATCCAATTTTGAAGAAATTACAAATGATTTCAGAAATTCAATTATTTTTAAAAGTAATAAAGTTCTTCTCAAAAAATTCAATTATGTTCAAAATTTGAAAAAAAATTCTCGTTAAAATTCCAATTATCGTTATAAATAACAAAATTCTTCTCCAAAGTTCAATTATTTACATAAATGTCAAAAAAATTCTTGTCCTAATTTCAATTATTTTCAAAAATTTTTCTAATCTCAATTATTTTAAATATCTACAATTTTAATAAAATTTTCCACAAAAGAATTCAATTATTTACAAAAAGATTTTAATAAAATTGTATGCAAACATTTAATTATTTTCATAAATAATGAAAATTTCCCAGTAATTCAATTATTTTTATAAATAATAAAATTTTTTAAGGAATTCAATTATTTTCATAAAAAATAATTTAAAATTAACTATAATAATCGTCGTATTTATTCATTTATTCTGTCCAGTCTGACCACACCTGAAGTTAGTCATGGTTATTCTTTTGTTTTTTATTCGTTTTCATAGAAAATAGAAATAAAATATAAAATAACGATTTTTTAACAAAATTCATGCTTTTGTTTTTTATATGTTTTGATAGATAATATTACAATTCTTTATTTTGTTATTATTTTTTTAATTTAATAATATTATTTTTATTTCTCAAATAATTCAAAAATATTTTTATCAATCTAAAAAATTATTAATATTATTATATAATTCATTATTTCCTTTGTTTCTAAAAAATTAGCATTTTGTAACAAGTATTTTAGAAAATTAACAAATGTAAATCCTGTGAAATAAACTATATAAACAGTCTTGTTTAAGCTGATGAATGGGATAACTTGTGTTGAGTCCCAAACTGTTCAGCTATGAAACTTCTAATACTATAGTGTGTACCTGTCACATATTATTCTATACAGGAGTACTACACTGACTGCATAAATCATTTTTCCATTTTTCTCCGTGAGGTTTGAATTTGAAATTTTTGAATGTCTTAATTCCTGTGGAAAATCCTGTTCCAAAAATAAGATTAAAAATAGAAATTTTGCAAATATTTTTCTTCTTTTTCTAAAACAAAATAATAATTTTATTCAAAAAATTGTGATTCATAAACAAAAATTATGCAAAATAAATAAATTTTCTATTTCTTAATCACAGTTGTTTAACAATTTTC